GAAGCAAGTATTACCCTGATTCCAAAACCAGAGAAGAAACCAACCAAGAAAGAAAACTACAGGGCAATCTCCCTAATGAACATGGATGCAAAACAGAATGAAGCAAATCATTAAGAAGATTATACACCATGACCAAGTAGCATTCATACCAGGGATGCAGGGATGGTTCAACATATGAAAATCAATAAATATAATACATCATATTAACAAACTCAAAGACAAAAACCACATGATCATCTCAATAGATGCAGAAAAAGCATTTGGCAAAGTCCAAAACCCTTTCATGATAAAAACTCTACAGACACTTGGAACAGATGGTCTCTACATCAGTCATATAAAAGCCATCTATGAAAAACCAATAGCTAATTTCATATTAAATGGTCTAAAATCAGGAACAAGACAAGGATGTCCATTATGTCCATTACCACTCCTATTTAATATAGTTCTGGAGATATTAGCCAGAACAATTAGACAAGAGAAAAAAATAATAAGGAATAAAGATAAGAAAAGAAGAAGTCAAATTATCATTATTTGCAGATGACATGATACTCTACATGGAAGACCCCCAAAACTACCAAAAGACTCCTAGAATTAATAAATTCAGTAGCATAGCTGGATACAAAGTCAATACTCAAAAATCAATAGCTTTCCCGTACACAAGCAACAAACTCACAGAGAAAAAACGTAGGTAAAGCACACCCTTCACAATAACATCTAAAAAAATGAAATACTTAGAAATCAATCTAACAAAGGATGTGAAAGATCTGTACAGTGAAAATTATAGCAACCTAAAAAAGAGATTGAAGAGGATATCATAAAATGGAGCGATATCCCTCGGTCTTTGATAGGAAGAACCCACACAGTGAAAATGACCGTACTCTAAAAACCTGCTATACAGGTTTAATGCAATCCAAATTGAAATACCATTAGTTTACCTCAAACATCTAGAGAAAACATTCCTGACATTCATATGGAACTAGAAAAAACCTAGAATAGCTAAAGCAATTCTGGGCAACAAAGGCTAGTAAGGAGGTATCACAATCCCAGACCTAAAATTATACTACAAAGCTACTGTGATAAAATCAGCATGCTATTGGCAAAAAAACAGGCCTGAGGTTCAGTGGAACACAATAGAAGATGCAGATGTATCTCCAAACACACTTAGCTGCCTTATCTTTGAGGAGCCAAATATGTTCACTGGAAGAAAGATAACCTTTTTAATAAATAGTACTGGAAAAACTGCCCTTCCATATGCTGAAGGCTAAAATTAGACCCATGTGTATCACTGTGCACTAAAGTTCAAGTGGATCAAAGATCTAAATATTAAAATAGAAACACTAAATTTAGTGGAAGAGAAAGTAGGCAGAAATCTCAAAAACATCGGTATAGGCAGAGACTTCATGAACAAAACCCAGACTGCAAGGAAATAGTAGAAAGAATTAACAAATGGGATCACACCTTATTAAAAAGCTTTTTGCAACAGAAGAAATCACCAACAAGAGTGAAAATACAGCACACAGTGGAAAAAAATCTATAGTTCATTGTCCCACAGATACAGGAGTTATATCTAGCACATATAAAGAACTGAAAGAAATCAGACCTTCAAAATTCAAAGACCCAATCCAAAAATGGGCATCTGAGATGAATATGCACTTCTTAAATGAAGAAGTACAAATAGCAAATACATACATAAAAAAATGTTCAGCATCTTTGGCCATTCAAGAAATGCAAATTAAAACAACACTGAAATTCTAGCTCACCCCAGAAAGAATGGCTATCATCAAGAAATCAACCCATAACAAGTGCTGGATGGGCTGCAGAGGAAAAGGAGCTCTTCTCCACTGTTGGTGGGAGTGTAGACTGGTGCAACTACTGTGGAAGTAAATATGGTGATTCCTGAAAACACTAGGATTACAAGTCCCATTTGACCCAGGTATTCCCTTTTTGGGTATCTTCCCAGAAGAATTAAAAACATTAAACCACAGTGATATATGTGCACCCATGTTTATAGCAGAACAATTTGTAATGGCTAAATCTTAGAAACAATCCAGATACCCATCAACCTAGACATGGATAAAAAAGATGTGGGTTTTTTAATATATAAAATGGAGTGCTATTCAGCCATAAAGAGGGATAATCTGGAGAGTTTATAGGTAAGTGGATGCAACTAGAGACCATACTCATAAGTGAAATAAATCAGACCCATGTATCTAAACATCGTATTGTCTCCCTTGTGTGAGAACACCAAGGAAAGAGGATAGAAACATACAATAGGTGTTGTGAATTGGGAAGAAACTGTTCAAAAGAAAAGACAAACTTGATGGCGGAGCAGGGCAAAGAAGAAAGGGAAAAAGAAAAACTAAATGTATACCCAGGATAATTAAGATAGCTATACAGTCAACTGCTCTTATTTCATTGAAAGGAAAGTTTTGTGCTAATATTGTCTGGACAAGATATCATGCCTATGGCTTATTCTCTGAATGATACTATGAAGACAACACTATGCAGTGTATCAACTACTATAACTGTCCTTCTAAACTATTTTGAAACTTGGTTTCATTGTTACATTTATCATTTGATTCTTTAAAATTAAATAAAAGAAATCTAGTCTTAGAAACATGCACACACACGCATGTGTGTGCGCACACACACACACACACACACACACAGCATCTGGGAGTGGAAAGTAAATTCCAGTCACTCCTTTCCAGAGGTTTGGTGAATCTCTGCCCTTGATTTCCTTTGAGAAAGGTCCTTTATCCCTTTCAAATATCCCTTTTATGGCTTACCCCAGCTTAAAGTGAGTTAATGTCTAACAAACATGGTAATATGTTTTAAATGAAATCCAGTCAAGTATCATTTAAAGCACCATTTAAATACACAGGTAACTTTCAGTGTGTGAACCTTCCTTTGTCTTTCCAGTGAGCCCACAGCACGTCTTGTACCCAATTACCATGATGGCGCCACCACACAGGGAAAGCCTGAAGAAAAGAGCCACTGTCTGGATGAACATCTTGGAAAAGAATAAAGGAAATGTCAGAGCTTAATAATGTAGGTTCTTGCCAAAAGAGAAAAGTGTGCATCAGACTGCTGCAGACCTGAGAGCAGAATTTCAAGGGCTCTGGAGTGGTGTTCTTCAAAGTAGGGTGCACCTAAAAGCTCAGGTCCCTGAGCTCCATTCCAGAGATGGTAAATCAAAATATCTGAAAGGAGGCCACCTTCATTCTCAGTGAGCAAGCTCAGCAGGTAGCTGGTACGCTGGACCCATCTCAGACACACTGCTTTAATGCTCGTGACCCTAAAACTGATTGCAGGGTGTAGTGCAAATGGCAGCAGAAATGGTAGCATCTTGGGAGCTTATAAAGGGACACACTTCAGAGGTGCAATTGTTAACACTGAACTATTTTTCTTCTCTTCACAATTAAGAGACTCAATTAGTAACATTGAACTATTTTTTTTCATCTTCCCTGCCCTACTCTTGTTCTGTCTCTCCCCAAAGGAACTATACCTTGGGAGAAACTTGTTTCTTGTTCCCTTCATTTGGTCCTTATTCAGCCTTCAGAAGAAGTGATGGACTGGCTACTTGATTGATACATCCTTTATTTCCTTTGCCTCCTGGAAGTCACAACCATTCTGCCTGTCAAATTCTCTATTACTGAGGGTGGGGAAAGGAAGCCTATGACAAGTATAATGAATAGCATTAACTTTCTAAATTCACTGTTTATCTAAAATCTCTACCAAGGAGTTGAATTTCATTAATCACCCTGACATATTTTGGGTAGGAATAACATAAGGAATCTAGATATTTGAAATATTTAAAATTAGCATATACTGTGCAAGAGACTTGTTTTCACCTACTCTCCCTACCAAAATTAACCTTAGTTAACTAGGCTGGTAAACATGTCTTGAGAAAATAAATTTAACTTAACGCTCTTGCAATTGTCACACGTAGGAAGCATTAGTACACAATGTAATATCAGTCCTCTTTGAGCCCACTATACTATCTATGTTAGCACTGTGACAGGTTTCTGGCATATTTATAAGTTGTGTTATCCTTTTTGCCTAATCCCAGAGGAGAAAAGAAAGCCAAAGGATTGAAATTAATGATGTATATTTAGGCAGTCAGCTTATTGGACTGCTGCCCTAAACCACAGAAAACCCTATATATGGAAAATTCTCAAGTAGGGGAGGAGCTGGTGAAAAGAGACAAGGTTTTAATAAACAGTTGAAGCTGTCAGTTAACTATTAATGATTTCTAAACACTTATTGAAACCATCTTAAAATAACCAACATAAAAGTGAAAAAAATGAACCATAAAACCAAAGAGTCTAATGTTTCTGCTAAAAACTCTGATTACTGAAACAATCCTTTAAGACAAAAATCCATATTTTCATAGAGCATGCACCGAATGTGAATTATCCACCTGTGTTTTTCCATGTATCTTCAATATGAGTAGGTCACCGGGAATAATTTATAATTCCTATCATGAAGCACTTCTTTTTTGCTCCCTCAGATATTTGATTTATCTTCGAAAGCCCCAAAATGTGAGCAGAAAATATGATCTAAAACTAGAAACTTTATGAAAGTAAATGTTGAAGGTCATACACGGATTAAGAAGAAGTATCAGTTTAGAAGGGAATTGCATGGGGAAGGTGTGTGGTGTGTGCTGTCTTTGTTTTTGGATGCCAGATGACTGCATGATCTCAAACGAGAACTTGGGCTGCAAAGTTGACAAGTTTTATGTGCAATGCAGGTTTTTAAGCCATCTTTTCTCTTTATAGCTGTCTCTTGCCTGGAAAAGGAGTGTTTGTCTTGTGTTCCTTTAAGTACTCATGGATCACATCAAGAAATCAAAACTCAGAAAACCCCACCTAACCCTGTGCCATCTTAAGTTTGACCTCCTTCTTTATGAGAGATGTGCTTACACATGATGCATTTTCCAGAGGATGGACTCTTGCCAGGAAATGAATTCCCATGCGAGAAAAGAAAGCAAACTTTACCTGGGTAATCATTCTTGTCTATGTCTGAGTCCCCTCTTAAAGCAAAGCCAAATCCAGAAGGGACTGTCTGTGAGGCCCATGCTCCTTGAAGAATTTGGGAAGGCCTGACGTTTAAGCCATCCTGGTTCCCATTGTAAACCAGCACTTTGCCTCTCTGATCCTTGCCTGCAAAGGGCACACCGATGGCAATATCTAGAGACAAACATATTTGGAGAGAAAGAACAATGCTTTAGACATAGTTAAGTTTAATCAAAAAAGCAATACTATAAATCTAAAGAGACTGTTATGCTTTGCATGAGAGTGCTGTAGTACTGCAGCAATAGTAATTATCATAAAAGGCTCAAGAGTAAACACAAATCTAAGAAAACACAATTAAAAGACAACTCAGACAATTTACTATTACTCATTTGTCTCGGATGATAGGGAATAGGACAATTTGGGAAGTCACTTAAAGGGGAACTTGTCTTTTTTTTTATTGCCTTTCAACCTTAAGTATTTAATATGCACTTATGATATTTCACTTATTTATTTTTTATTTTAAAGATAAGACAATAAAAACATGTTAACAAGCACACAGACATTTACAAAACAACACAAAAACTATACAAACAATACAGCATTTCAGACAAGGTGATAGGAAACTAACAATGGTTGTTGTATTCCATATTGATATCTTCAAATTGGTTACTCAGATAAACAAATATAGGTATGTAAGACTGATCAAACAATGAAATATTAACCGTTCTTTTCAATAAAGCAGTAGAAATCAGTAGTGCAACTATCTTAGCTATTCTGTGGATACCTATATACATATTTTCCTTTCTTTCTTTTCTCTTTTCCTTCATCCCAGTTGTGAGTTCGTTCTTTATGATACTCTAAAAATTACTAATTTCTTGAGTTTTTTTGTTCAAAGAAATCATAGGAGTACAATACACTTACAGAAAAGTACCAGTGGATACTGATCTGATGTTAATACTTCCTAGATAGCATGCTACAGCATGTTTCTGTTCATTTTTTTACTTAGACCAAGAAACATATTATAGCATCATACTTATAGATCCTGAAAATGTATGTAAAATTTTGTGTGTACATATATGTTTTTTTGAAGAGAGGGTACTTAGAAGGCATCTATAAATTCCTAATTTAAAGAACCACAGCCTATACTAACAATTTAAAACTCTTAATGCAAACATTGAAACTGCTTTTCTACTGAAGTTTATAGACTAGGAACATTTCAGCATAACCTGTATGTAACCCATGTATGCTAACCAGAATGCACTATACTTGCTAACATAGCAACATGTATATGTTTGTCTGGACTTCACACATGTATAAGATTCTCTAGTTCCCTTCAAGTCACTTTTGAGAGCTGTTATAGAGCACCCTAAATCAAAACATGAAAAAATTTCCATGTGACATCTAGATTAGCCAACCTATATCTTGCTTTGAGTGTCTTCCTAATTTTTGAAAAACCAGTAATAACAGTGCCCCCGCACTACTGTGTTTAAAAATACCCACTATTTTTTTCATGTAGCAGTAACATAAAATGATGACAAGCAGGACGCCGGTTTAAATTACCATTGTATCCATCTTGGTTCAAGTCTCCCAAGTGTGCCACAGCACTACCGAATCTCCCAAAAGTCTCAGTGCCCATGAGGACCTGTGGGTCCTGGAAGAGGAGGGCGCTCACTTGCAAGTATAGGTAGACTTGCCCCACTTCCCTCGGGTTACTCTCAAATTCACGTTCCATGAAGAGAGGCGCCCCAATCAGTATGTCATCCATTCTGTAGGGAACAAAGACAGCAGCCAATGAACAGGAGCCAGGAGATGCTTTTCAGAATATTGGTAATCCACTAGATTGGTACATTTCCATCGGTATTCTATTTCTCCAAGGGTCACTTTACAATCGTTGTATTTCTTTCATTGCTTTGTTACATCTACAACAGAGAATGTTGTAAGAAAATTGGTTGTTAAATTATCGTGTTAAACTTTTGAACTTGTTAAAAACAACCACTTTAAGAAAACCACAGATGTTTCTCTTCAAACTGTAGTTATAGAAGGAAAACATATTGAAAAGGCTTAAGTAGGTTTTTCAGAAAAGGAGATTAAAGTTTGTTTGCAATTTTGACAGCTATTAGTTAAATTATACAGTTTTGTTTCAGTAATAAGGCTTAAAATAAAGCTTGTCCTTTCTTTTCCACCTGTTACCTACTGATAAATAAAAAAGAGGCCAGAGAGGTGAATAATGCTGACTAAAAAGATAGAAAACAAAACTTTCATCCCTGAAAAAATTTGCTGTTTTTTTTTTTGTTACATGTAGATGATTTCAGGAAACAGATGATATCTGAGCCTAAAGCATTCAAGAAAGAGATATCTACGCAAACTATTTAGAGATGAGGCATAATCTCCAGGTACAAGGAAAACAAAAGTGGTTAAAGATAAGCATGTTTCCTTCACAGAGCCAGAGGAATATAAAATTTTTCTTGTCATGAGCTCTCTAAGATATCTGATTTTTATTTTAAAAATTTTAAGAAAAGTCACACTAACAAAAATGCATAATTTGATGTCTACTAGTGACCTTGCTAAAGTTTGTCTAAAGATAGCTCCACCCTGGCAGATGCAAAAATATGAAAATAAGAGATCACTTAAAGCTGAAATATAAATCGGCATTCACTTTGTGTCTAAGTAGATTAGAGAATACTGAAGTTTGCCAAGTAACCTAGTTACTAAAATATTATGATTAATATAATTTAATTATGTGTCGTTAACATATTACTACCAGTATAGCAAGTATATTAATACTGTGTAGTATATAATAAAATTAATATATTGCTGCATTACTATAAATATGTTGATATTACTATAAATCTATATATCTCAGATAATAAATATGAAGAAGCATGGGTGAGGTGAGGGAAAGCTTCCTGAACATCTGTGGGGTATGAAAGAAGCCGACCTTATTGCATTCCATCGTTTCTGAATTCTCACCTTGCCTGTGGGCTTAGTCTACTGTCTATTTCTCAGTCTGAGTCAAAACATGTGTTATGCACCTAAAAGGTTCAAGATACTGTGCTGTATGATTGAAAGAAGACAATGCTGATCATTAGGTTGATGAAGTCCCTAATTAATTTACAAGTGATGACAAGAGATACAAATGAACGCTGGGAACAGAGACAGAGAGAGGATGAGTGCTTTGATGGAATTAAGGAAGGCTCCCTGGAAGAGATGGCTTTGGTTCTGGTGGTTTCCTGGCAGGTGAATCTCAAGGTGGGCTTTCCAGATGGTGTGTTGTGAGGCAAGGCAAGTGTTCCCATTGGAGTTAAGGTGCACCAAGTGGTCCAGGTAAGATCTGGGCTAGGAAGATTCCAAAACATTTAATAGGAAAAGTAAAAATACACAAAAAATTATCAGAACTCAACAATGTGAGATAATAATTTATAATTATACAGTCACATCTAATATATTATAGTATTATTACATACAGTACAATATAATATTTGACATTAGCATCATAGTATATTATATATATAATGTACAATATGAACAATAAGAAAAAACAGAATTAAAAATTTGGTGAAAATCTGGATACCTCATCAACGAAAACAGATGGAAACCAAGCATGTGAAAAGATGTCCCAAAAAAGATGTCCCAAGTCTCACATTATTAGAAATTGCAAATTAAAACAGCAGTGAGATGCCACTACAAATTTCTTCAAATGGCTAAAATGTTGACAGCACAAAATGTTAGGATGTACAGCAAGAACCCCGATTCCATGCTGGTGGGGGGGGATGCGGAATGATGGAGCCACACTGAAAGACAGCCGGGTTTGTCCTTACAAAGCTAGACACAGGCTCACCACGTGATCACACATTTGTGGTAGTTGCTCAACCTGCACACAGATGTTGACAGCATCATTGATAAAACTTAACACAAAAAGATACTCTTCAAAGAGGTGCATGGATAAACAAGACTTTTGCCTCCAGCAAGGCAATATTATCCAGCAATCAAAACAAATGGGTTATGAAGCCATGAAAAGATATGGAAAAACCATTAAGTATATACTAGTAAATG